TTTTCATTCCCTCCATCTCCTTGGCGAGTTTGGGTGAGCCATTCCTGTCTAGGGCCTTGATGAACTCTCCAAAACAGTCCTCTGACTTATGATCCAGTCTTAGGAGAAGTTCTGAGGCACCGACACAATTTCCCTCATGATCCACCTGCTCATAACGAAATTATATTTTTAAAATATGTTTTCTTGACAAGATTACGGCGTGCATGGAGTTAAATATTGTGGGGAAACCTTATGACAGCAACAAATAGCAAATCTCATTATAAAATCCATGTTTAAGATGTTAAATCCTTTACAAATTATAATTCCATTTATGCTTTCCTTGGACGAACTGGTTGATTCCCATTGAATCAATTTTAAATCACTAAGGCCTCCCCCTTTTGTGAATTTGAAGAAAAAAATCACTAATAAAAATGCTAAAAGTAAACATTGTGTAACAAAAAATTAAAGAGTGAAACAGTAATGTTGTGTACAGTAGGAAGACATAATTATAGAACAAAAGGAATTAAAACGACTCAGTTTTAAGGAATGGAAAGATATATAAAGCACATCGAAACGAATTTCCCGTACCCTTTTTCGTATTTTCGCTACGTCTCGTTTAGTAAGATGTTCTTTTAATGAGGTAAGAAGGCTTAGAGGCTCAATATCCATCAATCGATTAACGTAGGACCTAAGAAAGGAGCGATAATGTTCCCTTTTCTTGGTGTTGAATTCAGAGGTGCCTTCCAAATGATCAGCTATTGCGCCGTTATCTGTACGACGGGGGAAGAAACGAAAGAGAAGAAGAAAAAAAAAACGTTCATCAGCAGTAGCGGACGTGACGAGCGACCGGCCCACTATTTTTAAGATTATGCATTTCTCTCTTTCTTTCTCTTTTCTCTCTCTCTCTCTTTTGGTCTCTTTTCCCCTTAAAAAAATATCAACCAGTCATTCTATATAACAATTATATCCCTTTGCCAGTCCGCCTCTGTTTACCAGTTATGTATCTATAAGATATGAAGAATAAAAGCAGTGATCTAGAGATGTACGATGAATAGCAAAAGTAAAACAAACGTTTTTTTGTTAAGAAGACAGAAGGAGAAGAAGAGGAGAAGAAGAAGAACAAGAAGAAAAAAATAAAGAAGAAGAAAAAGAAAAAGAGGAAGATACCCAAAAACATGCTGGTGTTGATTTTTATGGGGATTGTCGGCCTGTCGGGATGGGAATAACGGAAATTGGATGGCCGTCGCGAAAACGTTTCCGTATTTGCAGTTCAAATTATATCTCGATCTTGGCAAGCGTTATTAATCTCTCTCTCTCTCTGTGTCTATCTCCCTTTCTTTCTCTCTTTCAATACCCATCTAGTCTGACCTTTGATTGTTTCTTACCTGATCGATACAAAGCATCGATCACAGCACGATAGAGACCCCTTTTGTCTTCCTTAAAGTCCAGTGCCTCCATGAAACGTTCTGCAATTATTTTTCGTGTGGCATCTGTTTCAATCAATTCTAGCACTTCGTCGAATATCACTAAGAATAACAAAAGATAACAAAGCGGTAAACGTCATATTTAATAAAAAATTTCAGCATATCAATACGGAATCTGTAGGTATTGAAAAAATTGTAACCTTCATAAACAAATACTCAAAAAGATAGCAAAAAAAATCAGTGAAGCAGACTGATGAAAGTTTGAACAAAATCGGACAAAATAAGAAAGTTATAAATACAGGCGTATTAGGGATCTTCAACTTGGACAACTTTCCACATTTGTTACAAGTTAAAAAAATGACTAAAATTCTTTCTTTTTCCTCTCAAATTATTTGATTCAGGGGATATTTACACTTTAGAGGACCTCTGATGATATGTTACAGGCGCGGATCTACGGGGGGGGGGGGTTAGGGGGTTTAAACAGGCGCGTACGCAGGGGGGTTGTTTTTTTTTTTTGTTAAATTATTTTTAAAAAAAATTTAAAAAAAATCGCCCCCATGTCTGACCTAAGAAAGGTGACCTTACCCCCCCCCCCCAACGTAGCAAATGTTTTGAGACAAAAAAAAGTGTCCTCTTACCCCCCCCCCCCCCCCCCCCCCCGCTTATTCAGCGGTCGGTTGAGTCGTTGCGATTTTTTTGAGACCAAAAAAAAAAAGTGTCCGCTTACCCCCCCCCCCCCCCCCCCCCCCCCCCCCCCCCCCCACTGAGCGACTTTTCGGCTGGCTGAGTCGTTGCGATTTTTTGTTGGGCTCCCCCCCCCCCCCAAAAAAAAAAAAAGTGATTCTTAATATGAATCCCAAATAAGTTATTTTCCACTGCTCTATAATTATGTAAAGCATGGGTGTCGATCCTTACGTAATACCTATTCATCAGGGGGGATGAATGAATAGATCATCCCCCCTGAACAATAGGTATCAATGACAGATCGACACCCATGATGTATAGAGAATTGACTATGCTGAAAGTTCTCCCACTGATCATACACCGCACTGTTGATGGCTTCTTCTACATGTTTATTAAAAATGTCACCATCCAAAACCAATCCACGTATATCAGACAATATGCAAACGTACTTAATCAATGGTAAATTGGAAAGCTTTACACACAAAATCTCACCATCATCCCTGTCAAACTGTATTTTGAGACCTTCTACAATTTCTCTGACATCCAGGACCTCTATGAGTAGAGGTCGATAGACCTCCGTAATGACCTTAAACTTATTCTCCTCCGCCTCCTCCCACGCTGGGGCATCCACCGGGGCCGCGGTCATCACTTATCGATCCTACAGTCTCAACTTCAACCTAAAAAAGAGAGAAAATATATCACGAAAGACTACTACTGGCTGTTGTCTTTCTAACTGCAACGCAGTGTACTAAATTGTACTAAACTGTCACAGGTCCAATATAAATATGTTGCAGGAGTACAACCCTGGGCAAGCAAGACAATATGAATTGCGCAATGTACAGTGGAGCGATGTCGGCGCAACGATGTGATTTCGAAATACCGTGCACACGAAGGGGATTCCCCGAACTCACTCAGCCTCAGCGGTGTCGACTGTAGTATGTGTCGACCATTGTTTGAACGCACTTGTCATTTTAATAGAAGTGTACAATGCACAGGGGCGTACAACGGGGGGGGGGGGGGGGATGAGGGGGATGGCATGTACAATCATCCCCCCCCCCCAGGTTTTGGGAAATGATATTTGCTTACTTAATAAGTCATAATGATGATAATAATAGTAATAATGATAATGATAACAATTATAATATTAATAATAATAATAATTATGATGATGATAATAATAATCCTCATCATTATTGTAATTGTGTTTATTGTTATTAGCCGCATTCACACGGTGAAAGCCAATTCAGACGGTAAAAAAAAGATTAAACAGGCGCGGATCTACGGGGGGGGGGGTTAGGAGGTTTAAACCCCCCCCCCCCCCTTGGGCGGCCAAAAAAAAAAAAAAAAAAAAAAAAAAAAAAAAAAGAAAGAAAAAAGAACGCACGCTGGAGAGAAACCCTTTCAAGTGCAAATATTGTGAGAAGATATTCAACTCATCTGGTAACTTAACCAAACATATGATAACTTTGGATATAACTGTGTATTTAACTGTAACTTGATTTAAAAAGACGTTATCATGCACTGCTTTTTATGGTCTCCATTGTGTTAATAGATGCCAGGAAAACATCACTTACGGGGTTCAAATAAACACCCCAAAAAAATCGGCTCGGCGCTTCGCGGCTCGTGGACGATGCTCCGCATCGTCATTATTGTTCACCCCCCCCCCTTAGCAAAAAGCTAGATCCGTCCCTGAGTCATCCCCCCCCCCCCCCCCAGGTGTACGAACCTGTCTACGCCACTGACAATGCACATGTATTCCGCTAATGTATAAAGTAGGGTCTGAATTATCATCTATCCACTATTATACATTCCGTCCCAGGAAAAATATTAAACCGAGAATTATCGATGTTTTATCATAACTTGATCACAATTATGATTAATAAGAAAGACTTGATGCATGGCTGATTGGTGATTAACTGATTACATTTTATTATGTAAAGTAATCGTTTTAATTTGCACTAAAAAAAACACATCAGTCCTTCTTTGAAAAATATAGATGTGATAAATGACGGCATAGCTATTTTCAACCAACCAAAGTGTGAATTTCAAAATAGCTTTTTTTGTTGTTGTTATAGAATGGGGATTTCACACTTGAGCTTTCTCATGAAAATGTCATAATTATGTTGTACAGCAATAGTCATGATTGTAAACTTTGATCTAGCGACGACCTAGTCTGCAAGCACAGACCCTAATTTGACACTTTATCAATAAATCATTGTGCCTTGGGAGAAGCCTAGCCCAGCTACCTATTGGTTGTGTGTGTGTCAGGAGCAGCTATAGTACATGGCCTATGGTAGTCTTATAGTGCAGACTCACTTTTACGACTGACCAGGGTGTGTGCTTGCAGACTAGCGACGACCCTTGAGAACGACAGCACACGAGACTGAACGTTTCCAATCTTTCCTTATTTATTTCTTCGTCTTGTCGGCCTTGTGGGCTGTATGAAGGAGGAGAAGACGAGGGGAGGAAGAGAAGGAGGAGGAGAAATTTAGTTTATAATGGAAGGAGATCAGCTCGAGAAGAAGAAGTGCAAACGGGAGCAAGGTGTAAAAGGCTCTTTAATTATTCGGCTTTATTGATCAAGCTGATGTCAGAATCGAAATTAGGCCAAGTACAATTGGTTTCTTGTTGGAGGAGGGGGTTCCATAAAATGTGATATTTGCTAGCTAGTTCTGTACATAGAAATGCTAATGCCTTCGTATTTGGACGATTTCAACAGAATTGTCTTTAAATTCAAATTTCATAAGTCTAGTACAGAGGCTGAAAACAGAGTGAAATTGCATTAAATTCCTGATTTATATTTGTTAACCATTTTTTCTAATTGTCCTCATATTATAAGACATTTTTTCCCTGTATGAATATAAGCCTTTCAAGGATACCGTACACATCGCACGCTATATTAAGATCTAAAGTCTAGAACTTAATTGCCAGTACGTGTACGTACCGGTACGAGGTTGAGTTCGACTACAAAGTAGTAAGTTATTCTTTAGTGAGTATATTGTCGAACAACAAATATATGTCTCTAAAGTAGAATGTTTAGTAAATGAATATGACACTTAGAGTACTGTTTTCAATTGCATTGAGAGGATATTGTGTGTGTGTTGTGTTCTCTTGCTGCCGCCGTCGAATAGAACAGTCATGAATTATCATATGTTTACGTCGATATACCGCTACTGTGGATCTGTCGGTAGGCGCTAATGTGTGACCAAAGTTCACTTTACTTACATTACTTTATGTTAGTTTAATCCACCGATACTATAGGACTATGCCTGTTCATCGATCGTAGAGGTCTTCTTCAGTGGTTAGGCATATACGTTATCCTTGTCATTTCAAATTAAATAAGTGGGGAAAGGACATTAAAGAAAACAATAGGAATGTGAACAATTAGGAAAAACTGATATTCGATTCATGATTATTTGAATTCTACACAAATTGCTACCAATTTATTTTCCTTCTAGAAAATTAGTCATTAAAAGTATTCCAGTGACATCGCTTTCAAGACAAATTCAATGTCAAATTGGCGTATTTGCCTTAACTGCAGAAATCGCCACATAAAGTTTTAACAATTATAAACGAGTCTTTAATTTACGTAAGAGAGTTACATCTGGTCTATTCAAAAGAGTGATCCATCAAAGGTAAGATAATTTCATGAATCGGAACGCGATATATCATTCAAATAGTTATCACCTTCTACTTACACAACTGCAATATGATGACATTTTTTTACAAAATGAAAATTTCCCGACCCTTGTCGGTATAAGTTTATTAATTTCTTTGGTGATCTTGTGTTACTATTTTCATAAGTACTCAATTTCACTACTCAATTTCGAAGAACATTTGTCTTCAAATAATTGTTTGATACCCTTTCCATTGGGCTACCAGGTTTTCGAAACTTTCCAAATTTTGTTGTTGTTGCACACAATGAAAACGAAGAGGCTCCTCGCCAAGATTGGTGATAGATTTCTGATTTTAATATTCAAATAATTTTTTATAATTTATCAGTTGAATTTATTTTATTTTACTTCTATTTAGGTGTTGATGAGTTGTCACCTAAATGCTGACGTTGAGTGAATTCTGATGAGTCTTGTACAGTGGTGTTTAATTGTCCTTTCAAGAATAAATGGAAGGAGTCTTCATTTTGTTGTATTACACACAAAGTATTGTAATGCTGCTATGAGTGACTGAACATGTTGAAGTTGCTGTGGAAACCCTTGTAATAAGTTGATTTGTATGAAAACAGGAAAACAACAGAAATAAGCTTAAAACGAATCGGACCAATAGTATGGAAGTTACGAATGTTTGAATATGAGATCACTATTAAATTAGATTCTATGCAAATCTCAAATTGGTAGTTTGGTCAGTGGATTGTGACGCAGGACGCGGATAATTCTCCTATTTGCCGTGTACAAAAATATCATTAAATTATGTTTTTCTGTTAGTTTCTTCTCCCTTGGGCCACTGCTCAAAATATATTATAGATAGCATATTATTTATGGGTCCTCCAAAGAGAAACGACCCTCGATCCTGAGATACATTTTTGAAAAATTTAAATTTTAGTCATTTTATATATGCTGGTACTTTTTTTATAATATTTAGTCAGATTTAATTGAATAGTTGGGTTGGATTTCCTTTTAAAGGTAAAGACCAGTTATGGTCATGCGATTACATTGTGAAAGAAACGTTGTGGAATCGATCAGAAAAGGTTGATCATCTAGCATATAAGTATTGGTGTGTACAGCAAGGTTCTGGAATCATCAAAATGATAAGAAATATGGCCAGTCTTCGTAAAGTTACAAGCACTGTATACAGAAAGATGTATATGGGACTATACGCACACATGCTCGACACGTGCGTTTATCTCTCACAGACCATGTAGATAAACTTATTTACCAAATATATCAATAGGCGGTTTCCCGGCAAAATTGTTATCATCATGTATTAGTCAAAGCATATTCTTTCACATGATTGGTAATAAGAGCTTCCATTTCATTTTATGAAATTGGGGCGTTTCCAATACTGGTCTTTACCTTTAACATTCTCTTTCTGTCTCTTAGTCTTAGATCTTCTTTGGGAGTTAGTAGCCAAGAGTTCTGTTAATGCATCACCGTCCATCAAAGTGGAATGGCTTCAATATGGAGAGCATATCTAGGACTGCTTAATAAGTATCCCTTTCGTACACAAGCAGTAACAGCAGGTAAATCAGTTCGTCATTTTGTGTAGATTTAAATATTTGCTTAAATTGTCTCTCGGGTATTGCTATTGTACTCCTTTTTTTGGGGGGGGGGGTGCGTTTCATAATTCCAAGGCACTGCTGAATGGACTTTGTCACCTATATACGCTACCGTGACCCATGCCCATGAAATGACACTTAAAGAGCAGTCTTATTTACTTTCTGTCGTAGAACAAGTATCATTTTTTTTACCACCTGCTCGGGGTCTTTTTTTTTGTGAGGCAAGTGAGAAATGTTTCTGAAAATGCGGTGCTGGTCTATGAAAAGCCATAGGGGGAGGGGACTAAAGACATTCGATGCATGCAAAGTATATGGGTCATTATCAAAATATATTCAATACTTATACAGAAATATACATGCATAATCAAAGCATATTCGATGTTTAAAATAAAATAAATCCGTTATCAAAATATATTCAATGGTGAAGAAAAAATATATGCGTTATTAAAATATTCTGTTTATAGATACAAATATGCACGTTTTTAAACATATGCGAGGTTTAGAAAATAATATTTGTTTGCTATTAAGAGATATTGGATGTTTACGGAGATATTTGCGTTATCAAAATATATTTGATGTTTTTAAAAATACATGCTTTATTAATTTATGTGAAATTATAGTTGAAACAATTATATGACAACAAAAGGACGAGAGCTAGAAAAAAAATTATGTTCAACACAAAAATTATATCGGACAATTTGTACGTACCATGGATGGACGTGAGACAACGCGGGGGGACGGAATGGGCAAACGTGACAGGCTTGATTGCCGTGGATACCGGAGCAGATTTTTAAACTGTCAACTAAATTGTCACGGCAGTCATGGTGCGGATGAGGAACCTAGTAGGCCGTAGTAAAACGGGGTAAACGCAACAAAACGTGACAGTACGTAATAGTTCTAGTACGGTCTGGCACGACACGCTGTTCTCAGGATACAATGATTGCATTTGCTTGGGAGACCTTTGTTATACCGTGGGCACAAACGTGCTTCAAAGCTGCCCGGTGTCCACGTTTTATCCGTAGAAAGCCTTGACAGAACGTGAAAAATGTGTCAGACCTTGATCAGAACGTGAAAAACGTGACGGGCCGGAAGGGAACGTACTGGCATCAGTGGGAGACCGCAGGTTGAACCGTACTGCCTTGGAGCCCTCGGGCCAGCATACCCTTTCCATCCCACTGGCCGTCACGGAAATCGTGATAAACCGTGAGAAAACTTGGCAAAACCTAACGAAACTTGAATACAGAGATAAAATTTGCCAAAATCTCACGCTGCACTACGTTTCGGGCAAACGGGGCTGCCGGGGCCGCAGGGAACATAGTGAAAAGATAGAATAATCGAGCGCAATGTCTAGGTGTACAGCTAGAGCCTACTGTGCTAATGCTACATTTACACTATGTTCCCGGCGGCCACGACAACCACGTTTCAGGCCACCTTGGACGAAACGGGATTGACGTGACACAACGCGGGGGACCGTATGGGCAAACGTGACAGGCCGTGATTGCCGTGGATACCGCGCAGATTTTTAAACTGTCAATAACTTTGCCACGGCAGTCACGGTGCGGATGAGAAACCTAGTAGGCCGTAGTAAAACGGGGTGAACGTAACAACACCTGACAGTCTGTAATAGGCCGTAACAAAACTTGGAGGTGGTCCGTAGTGGGACGGGAGGCCCGCATATTCCCCGGCATCTTACGGTCTTTTCAAGTTTTGTCACGTTCTGTCACGTTTAGTGCACGTTTTGTCACGGTTGCTTCACGGTTGCTGCGCATTTTGTCCCATTTTGCCACGTTTTGCCACGGTTTGCCAAGGTTCTCAAGGCAGACCAGGATGTATGGTAGACGTTTTGTCGCGTTTAATCACGGTGCATCCCGGCGTCTGACGGTTTACGGGCGCGGCGCGTTGCGTTCTGACACGGCGCACGCGGTCGGGAGGTAGTATATAAAAGACAGGCGCGGCAGGAGCTTCATTCGAGTCTGAGCAATCGACAACACATTACTGCATCTGCAATACGAAGAAAGAAGGTCAAGCTATGCCACTGAACTTAAGCCAAGACGTTCGAAGGCCCTCTGTCCTGCACCACCACAACAACCAGTAGTAGAGGATACAATGATTGCTATTGCTTGGGAGGCCTTTTTTTATACCGTGGGCACAATCGTGCTCCAAAGCTGCCCGTCGTCCACGTTTGATCTGTCGAAAGCCTTGACAGAACGTGAAAAACGTGTCAAAACTTGATCAGAACGTGAGAAACGTGAGGGACCCCATCAGAACGTGACGGGCCGGGAGGGAACATACGTTCTGGCATCCGTGGTAGAACGCGGGCCGAACCGTAGTGCGCCTTGGAGCCTCCGGGACTCAGCATCCCCTTCCCCCACGACCCGGGTCGTCACGGAAACCGTGGTAGACCGTGAGAAAACCTGGTAAGACCTAACAAAATTTGAATCCAGAGGTTAAATTGGCCTAAATCCCACGGCGCTCTACGTTTCGGGCAAACGGGGTTGCCGTGGCCGCCGGGAACATAGTGTAAACGTAGCATAAGCAGCCTTGTGACGTGATCTTCATAGCAAAATTTGAACACCAGCATTAAAACAAAGGTAAATTTGTTGTTTTATTTGTGGACCTACATAATTGATAATTAGTTTTTTGAGTGCGTAATCTTGATTTTCATATATGATTAATGTGTTAAGGTACTGGATTTTGTTACATTTTCTATGTACGATCACACACTGACAATTCCATGAAAGGGGAAGTCAACCATAACAGGTCTAAATGATAGATAAAGTACTAGATCGGCCAGACTTATAAATGTAATACAAAAGATAGGGGAGCAATTAATGTATAAAGATATGATTGAACTAACCTTAATGGGCATATGTATGATGTAAGCTGCTCTATTTATTTACTAGTTCAAGGTATCTCTTTCCTTTCTATTCACAAGAGGGGGGTTTTCATGTTTTCTGTGTACAACAGTATTTGGATCAAGAGCAGGATATCCGAGATCAGGATTAGACTCCATAGTCCATCGACGAATTTCTAACATCTTCAATATGTGGGACCAAATAAATTTAAATTACAATTAGAATCACTGATGAAAATGTACTTATGTTCTATTGAAGACATGAGATACAGTAACAATTATTTTTGTGAGAAATTTATTTGCTCTCTGCATGGCATATCTCTGTTTTAAATCTGAGGTTGCTAAATAAAGAGATGCGGATATATATGTACTTCTAATTTATGGCATCTGGACTTTGTCTATCTCTTCAAGTTGATAAGTTAAGTATTATCGGTTAACATAATTGATCTTATCATTATAATGTGCCTATCATTACCGGACCATGCCCCTACAGCAATCATTAACAAAGGAAAAACATAGGTAAGTACAGTCTTATCAATAAATTATGCCGTATAAAACATGCACAAATGATTATGGAAGGATTTCTTTCTCCAAAGCAAACAAATGAATAATTTGTTATCTTTTATAATTTCTATTTTTTTTTGTAATACATTTTATTCTTCTACTTTATTCATTTTGCAATCAAAGTAATTGACATAAAAATACTAAAGTGGTTGACAGATCGAAAAATTACACCAGTATTTATTAATTGATTTTTTTTTCTTCTCATAACTTTAAATTCAAATTCTAGACCGCAGAGCCAGAATTACCTGCAAAATTTTGCTTCATATTATGGAACATCAGTCAGCCTACAAATACAAGCTCCCTTGTACAGCTCCATTTTGGAACTCTTTCTAGAGGTGCTCCTGGCATGATCACGCGTCGATAATTACATGTTGATGCATAATGTGCTTTTGTAGCAATTACAAAATACCAAATACAAAAGAAACAACAGAACATTGTCATTGCAGTGACAACAGAATAACAACCATATGAGTACAGCAATCCTTAATACCTCAAATATTGCTCTTTTAATCTCCACAAAGGTACCTCGACGAGACAGTGGCTGCAATCGGGGGTGGATCCAGCTGGCGGCGAGAGGGGGGGGGGGGGGGTAGCCCAATTCGTGAGAAAATATTTAGCGGCGCGGGGTAGTAAGCACTAATTTTGTTTTTTACTCAACATCCCCATCCCCCCCCCCCCGCCTTGAGCAACAACAAAAAACAAATTGTGGTCACCATCTTTTATTTGCGAGGAATTTATTCATTTTTCATGGGGGGGCATATAAAGGAATGAACAATCACTTTGAAAGCGACAGACAGCTAAGACTCGTGATGTGAGTGTGGTTGTATGTTAATGACAGAGAGACAGAGTCGTAGTGACTTGACCTTGACTTGACCTTAGAAGAACTTTTCGTAAATATTATTGTCTTGACTTTTTTCTGTGGCTTGAAGTCTGGCCTTTTATGAAATTGTCACCCATTTCTATGGTGACACCTGTAACATTATTAGAGTGCCACACATGCTTTTTTGAAATCGGGTGAAGCATACTTTAATAACCTACTAGTTTCTACAGTATTACCATATTTTCGTATTTTAAAGTCAACATATATATTTCCTCATGGATTTGTTGCTACTTTTCATTCCACAACATATCTAGAGGGGAGTTAATTTACTGTAGTGACTTGACCTTTATAGAAGAACTTTACATTTGTAGATATCATTGTATGGCTTGAAGTCTGGCCTATTATTGAATTGTCACCCATTTCTATAGTGACACCTGTAACATTATTGGGGTACCGCACATACTTCTTCTTTATAAACCCTATTGTATTGGGATTTGCAATTATTTTGGGAAGTACATTCCACATCCAATGGCCCGAATTCACAAAGGAGGTTTGTATACAAATGTTTTGACGCGTTTCAAACCAATGTTTGTCTGAACCTTGGTCTGAAACGCATCGAAACGTAGGTTTGTCAACAAACCTCTTTTTGTGAATTCGGGCGAATGTCGGCCCGAATTCACAAATGTGTTGGGATGTGCAACCAACCAATGTACTGGTAAAGCATATACAGCTGTACATGAATATTTATATAATATTGGATGGCTTTGAATGGGAAACAAGAATATATTGCTCGAGCTATGACAATATTGGACGAGTCAAAGACGAGTCTAATAATTATTGTCTTAGCGAGAGCAATGTATTCCTGTATCACACGAAAACAAAGCCATACAATATTATTATTATTATTATCTATAATATTCTGACAAGTTAAAAAACAAACTTCGACTTACCTCGGTAAATATGGCTTTGTTTTCGTATGATATCGATATCAATAGTTGAAGATCCCGGATGACTGAGAAATACAATTCAAGATATTGAATACGCTGATTTATTGTACCACTTGAAATCCTTATATATATATATATATACGTATATATATATATATAAAATAATACACTTGTTTTTGCCACACCTATTTTGGTATGGTATGGTATGGTATTTATTGAATCATTCATTCCAGTTCAGAATTAAACATATGTATAATTTGCATTTTAAAAACAAGAGTACAATTTAAAACAGCATCATTTACATAATTATAAGTATACGTATACGTGTTTATCCTTAATTTTGTACCAAATGTAAAATAATCAACAATACGAACATGGGGAACAGGGGAATATGTACCTAAATAAAATACGAAAGTGAGGAAGAGAAAAGGGAAAGATAGAGAGATGGAGAAAGAGAAAAAATAGAGAGAGGAGAAAAGGAGAGAGAGAGAGAGAGAGGGACAAGAGGTAAAGAAGGTGGAAGAGAGAAAGGGGGATCTTGCCAACAATTATTAAAAAGTATGCATTGCAACACTACGAATAGTATTAATTAGATGAACAAAAAGTACATTGTAAACATTGTATGGCGCACCTAAAAATCTTTGGTAAGGTTATATGAAAATGTATCTATGATAACACTTTTTTAACGCAGATGATAGTAGAAACATTAAGAAAGTATAATAACAACCTCTTATAAAAAAAAAATTAAAATACATGCGGATATAGCAGAGAAGTTCAAAAGGAGTAATTACAGACCTGAGTAAACCAATAGTGTTAAGATAGAATATCGGGCAACCATGGGCAATTTAACATAATAATTATACAATAGACAGTACACATTACCAATTGAGATAAAGCGTATTGGAAATGTTTACATTAAGTTTCTACATTTAGCAATAATATATTTGTTCAATCCAAGATAGTTGATTTAACCTAAAATATAATGCATTAAGATTTGGCGAATTGAAGATGTGTTCAGGAAAGATTGCAAATAATTAATATAAAAAAAAAAAACCTAATTTGATCTTGATACAGAAATAAAATTTTGGAAAAAATAAATGTAGTTCACAAATTTTGGCAATATTATGCTATCATCAAAGTTGAACAAAAGCGAGGATGCCACATCATGACTGGTTCAAAAGCCTTACTAGATAGGGTAAAGAACTTTGTAGCGTTCTGTCCTACACTTGATTTCACGTAGCCTGTTTTTATGTCTCAATTGTCTTCGAGAACACTGGCTTTCAGGTAACCACTCACGAAAGTTACAGTAGACGGACCTAGCAGAGCTCTTCTCTTCTGTCTCTCAGAGAGGACAGGTTACACATTGCGAGAGCCTGACGGTAGGATTCATATCTTAATCCTATAATGGTCCGCAGGGCACGTTTTTGGATTGACTCTATTCCTGGTTTTGAGTTTATAGTGACGAATGCCATACTACACAACAGTATTCTAGAACCGGTCTTATGTAGGAAGTAAAAGCTGCATGTGATCAAATCATGAAGTGGCATGGAGAAACGTTTGAGCGTCCGTAGCAGATAGAGTTTCTTGGCTGCTGTTGATGTAATGTAGTTGACGTTTTCGATTCACCGAAGATCACTGCTAAGGACGACGCCAAGCAATTTCACGTGTTGCTTGTCCGGGATTTGATTATCGCCGATCATAACTTCCACTGGTGGGAGCTGTCGACGAGCAAATGATACCCTCATGAGTGGATGGGTTTAGACGCATATTCAAGTCCTTACACCATTCTTCAAATACAGACAATGTAGCATTAAGACAACTTGGTAAATTTGATGCGAATACCCGAATCAAACGTGGTGAGATTCCGTCCGGTCCACCACTTTTCCAAGGGTTGTATGGTTGGCAAAGTGTCCAGCTGAATCGGTTTGAACGCAGGAATCTCGTTCAAATCAAGGGATAGGGTGTCCTTTCCGATGCTTACGAAGTACGAGTTTATGGCATTGGCTATTGCCAACGTGTTCGAACAATTTATATTTGGCAACGAAATAGACGTTTCTTGTTGCCTATTCGAGGTGATCAGTTTGATAAACAGTGTGTCCCGAAAAAAACTATACACTTTTGAAATGGCTGCCGAATAAAAAATATATGATTCTAGGGGGGAAAGTTGTATATGTATGGAAAGCCCATAAACTCAACTTTCATATGACACCAACAAGTTTGAAAATAATTCATGCTTGGGTGAGCACTGCTCACTTTTGTAAAGGGTATGAAAATTAGGTTGCGCAGGAATTAGCCTTCCAATGTGTGAGAGGTAAATCCTTTGGAGCTTACAACATTGAGGGTGATATGATAAATTCATGATTTGCTGAGTGAATTCCATGGTTTATTAAACCAAACTTTTATGCACGGAACAGGAATTTCATTTTTCTATTGTAGCATTGTAACTTTCCCTGGTATACTCAGTGGTGTGTTCATGAGAGTCAGGATGGGGTGATGGTACATGTTGTAATTTCCATGTTACAAACTGTTATTTTTTACATTTGTGACTTTGAATAAAAACCTTCACCCCACATTTCAGTTACCATTTACCTGAAGAATAAGTAGCCGACATCTTGGACATTCCTTTTTTCAACAAACCGTATTTGAATATTCGATTTACATTATCCCTACCTGGGTATTGAATAAATCAATGAGATGTTCAACTAATCTTACAATAATTGAAATGTGGGGTGAAGGTTTTTATTCAAAGTCACAGATGTAAGAGAATAACAGTTTGTAACATGGAAATTACAACATGTACCATCACCCCATCCTGACTCCCATGAACACACCACTGAGTCTAACAGGGAAGTTACAGTGCTACAATAAAAAATGCCATTCCTGTTCACTCATGCATAAAATGTTAATCCCATAAACCAAACATTTCACTCAGCAAACCCAAAATCATCACAATTGATCATAAATTGGTCATATCATCCTTAATTCCGTAAGCTCCAAAGGATTTACCTCTCACACATTGGAAGGCTAATTCCTGCGCAACCTAATTTTTTTCATACCCTTTACAAAAGTGAGCAGTGCTCACTAGAGCATGAATTATTTTCGCAACTTTTGGTGTCATATGAACGTTGAGTATATGAGCTTTCCATACATATATAACTTTTCCCCTAGAATCATATATTTGTTATTCGGCAGCCATTTCAAAAGTGTATAGTTTTTTTCGGGACACACTGTATATGTACCACGAAGAATATGATCAACAACCCGTGTAAGGTACTGAACAAAGTAATTTACATGAGCATTAGTTGGGGTTAGTAAACTGATGCCACAAATATTGAAGAGACGTTCCTAGGTAATCGTGTTGGTCGGATGGGTATCCAAACAACCTCATGTTCTTCCGGAACGTCCATGTGGGGTTTAAGTGGGGTTCATAGTAGATTTCACATAGATAGCGACTCCTCCACCACGTTGAGAAACTCGGCTGTTAATTGTTGAGAAAGTTGTAGTTTGAAATGCTGAACGCGGTCTCCAAAACACGTACTATCTTGGAACCATGCAGGTCTCACTCACGTAAACAATGTCCATGTCATAATTTTGAACGAGAAACGTGAATTCGTCGAACTTATTATTCAATGATCTTGCGTTAAGCATATACATAGAAGGTAATGATGGTGATTGAGTAGGGAGGGCCTTAATGTTTCTCAATGTTCTTGTCCTAGTCATGGCTGGCTCTTTGACTTGACAACTTTTATTTGTCGTCGGATCTTTTTCCCTGCCCGGCAACCTCTTTTACGAGCAATTCCAAGTTCATGTAAAGTTTCAAACGCATCCCGAGGTATACGACTTTTCGGTTGAGGGCGTAACCTGACAAGTTCATTACTGCTATAACGAATCACTCTGTCTTGTCCGTCGACCGAATGATGGCTATTTAAAAGCGCATATATTAACTAATAAATATTTGATAACGCATACTTTGTTCAACTCGAATATGCTTTGATAACGCCTATATCTTTTATAAACATCGAATAACTTTTAATTGCGCATATTTATTTTCTTATAAACATTGATACTGCCCCATATATTTTGCGGGGATCAATATATATTTAGTTTTTTCCCATAATGGCTTTCCATACTGGCCACTGAGTAAAGTATGCATGCATACAAGTGGCCAATCTAGGGAGTATGGAGCATTTCAAAGTACCCCTTCCCTCATTGTTCATACATTGTCTTGAATATTTGTTTTATTTTCCTGTTGCTCATTTGTTGTCATAGCTAATATAACTGTTTTCTTTTTAATACACTTGATTTGCAGGTGTGCTATTCTTCACGTCAGACTGCATCTCTCAGCAGGCGGTAGAGGGGATAGGATGGAAGAATCATGATAAAATAAGGACTGTCAGACAAACTGCATTTGGGTTGTGCTTTGCAGTAAGTAATACTAGGTGATATTTTGTCAATGTCTTTCATTACTCCCACTCCCCCCTCATGAGTTTAACACTTTGAACTAACTTATCAACATTTTAGATATAATGATAATAATAGTTGGTTCTTGTATAGCGTTCATGCATATCAGACTTGATATTCCTGGCGCTCCAGCTTGATGTACGCTAATTTGTAAGAGAGACTTGTAATATATATTCTGCTAGATTTGTGACCTTTTTAAATACGCGTACCTTTTTTTTTTACCATTATCAGGGTCCAACTTTATTTGCATGGTACAAGCTCCTCAATAGAATCTACCCTGGCTCTGGGAAGCTGACCCCTCTATGGAAGATGCTTACAGATCAAGTAAGTCGATCATATACCTCTTATTTGTTTGTTATTTTCGACTCAATCAAGACTCTTCAATATTTTGGTTGTTTGTGGGATGTGATAGATAGATATTTTGAGAAGTTTATTGAAAGAGAAAGTTAAACAGAAGGTGTGTATCTATCTTTACTATTTTACACATATATTACTTTGCAGACTACTTTTCTCTGTCTTGAGTCTAATATTAGCTACGTGGTTATCAACATGCATTTTTATTTTACTTTTAGGCATGAAGAGCATTAATGATGTGCGCCGCTTGAAAACCGTTGATGCCTTTATTTTGCACATTGTTGTTAATAAAAACATAACTCTTCAGCGATTCAACCTTTTAAAAGGGCTACTTATCTATCCTTGTAACATCCAGCATCTGTATTAATGTATGGAAAACTTATAACTTGTACAGAGCCCAAAGGACATGAGTTTCATTTGAGAGAGAGAGAGAGTATACACCTTTTTAGCTATCAGCAGATTAAAAAAATAATCTGTCAATACATTGCTTAGATGACATTTTTGGTATATTAAAAGTGAGTTGATATTATATACAGTAGTCTGTCCCTTCTGCTTTAATAGAAGAAGGGAAATTTCAGACAAACTTGTCTTGTCCATTTCGTTCATAAACTATTTGTATTGTTTGTTTTACAGAGTGTGTGTGCGCCAACCTTTCTCGTTGCGTATTTCTCAATCGTTGCCTTGACAACAGGGAAGAAAGTGGATGAAGTCCCTGCCATTGTGAGAAGGGTGAGTATTTCTTCCTCGAAAGCATTGATGCAATCAGTAATTTCATGATTAGTATCTTCATTAGTAGTTCATCAGGATGTTTAAATGCATGGGTGTCATTGATATTATCTAATTGATTATATTTGTCTAAAAGAAGCATGAATCATGATATTTATGTGAATTGATATGTGGGATAGAATATGATACGCAGTTAATCAAATAGCATTTACCTTTTGTACAGGTGTCTATTTTTTTAAACTGATCTTTCTTTGAGGATTGCCCGGGGGGGGGGGGGGGGCTCTCCTGTAAGAATCAATTTATCATTGTAGCAGCATTTTAACTATAATTGTACAATTACAATATACATGGATACTGTAGAAAATCATAGAGATTTACATTTTGTTCAAAAGAAGAAGAATCATTTTTATATGTGATTAGAGTTCGATGAGTTTGTCCCATTCATAACGTTTCTTTCTTCCAGGATGTACCTAGTACCTATGCTAAAGGGCTGATGGTAAGTATCGATCAAATTCAGTTCAATTCTAATTTATTTAAGATCAGCTACAAAAGCGTTGAATGGTGTCAAAAGCATAAAACAGTGATAAAAGGTATAAAACTCAATGCCATGGCAAATATCATAACATTGGCTTATTCGTAATCGTGATCTATTCTATATCTACATCTAAGGTGTTACTGGACAGGACCAATTGGTATACACGTCCATACTTCCATGGCAACACAAACTGTCATAAAACATCACAACTGAGGGTGCAGAGTTCATAAATCAGATAAAAAGATGCTCATAAAATTACAGTGGGTTGCAAATAGACATCATCTAATTTTAGATGAGGTTGAGCTACTTTGACCCTCTAGCCCGCCTGTGTACAGCTGCGCTGAGTGGTCATTTTGCATGACCAATTTGAGACTTGGACGATTGAAATTCCATTTGAGAACATATATCCTGTTTTATATCATTTGTACTTTTCAAAAAACTTGCTAAGTTTTTCTTGACTATTTGTTATGTTCTGAATATAACTAGTTTGCTATGAAGGGTACATGGCCATTTGTTTTACATAATGATTTATTGATGTCTCTCTCTCTTTTCTCCTTTACAGATCTGGCCGGCAGTACAACTTGTCAATTTCTACTATGTGCCTCTTCTACACAGGTATTTAAAGGATCTTAGTATTACAACTTCCTGAATCTCTTTTAATAAAAATGAAAACCTTGCATTTAGCCTAGCTCAGTCTGGCACCCAAACTATGTGTATTAAATTACTAATCTTATTAAAATGAAAGAAAAAATAAATATGCCCTGTGTTCCGCAATTTTGAAGCATTGCACAGTTGCCAACAATAGACACATTATTGCAAAGAAAATACTAGATAATATGCTTTGGCAGAAGAGGTAAAAAAAAAAAAATGGTCAAAGATATATTAAGGTTTGGGTCTGGGAAAGAAGAGGTGTTTTTTTTTTAAAGGGCAAAAAAGGGCTGTGGAGGAGTGGTTGCTATGCAATATTGGACAAAAAACGTCATTTATCTCTTGCAAATCCTCTTTCTTTTACTCCATCTTTCTTTTTTCTCTTCCTCAATCAACTCGTTCCCTCTAATCTCTTTCACAGAGTGATGGTTGTCAATGTAGTTAATATTGTGTGGACCACCTATTTAAGCTGGAAAGCAAACGCTGCCGAGAATAGAATATAACATCCACCTCTAGACCTACCTGCACTGATCTCAATACATATTCAAATATAATGATGCACGGTGATGAAAAGATGTACTACCAGTTTGTGCCCATGTACGTTGTGATTCCAAAATTTATTGAGATGGTGTGTTTTTTTGGATGGCCATAGCTCAAAGGAAAACTCCGCCTTGATCATGATCCAACATGATATTCACAAGCCCAAATTGCCAGTTCTTCCTCAATCAACTCGTTCCCTCTAATCTCTTTTGTATTGTAGAATGCCGTAACTAATTATCTTCATAAGTGTTAACAATGGTTCATAATTTCATCATATTTGTTTGAATTTCAACATTTTATTCTTTTATATCTATTTACCGAGGTGAGATTTTCATTTATGTTTTGCAAGCCATCTGTACTCTCGAATTATATGAATGATTCAGAGTGATACAGAATTGTATTTACCCCCTGTTTTAGAAAATTGTTGTTGTATTTCATACATTTTCATACTTTTCTTTTTAGATACATGTTAGATGAGATTTCCTTTTGCGGTTTGGAAGCCATTTATGCTCTCCATATAGTAATTAGGAATGATACCAAATTACGGTTTATGTTACACATGGTTCTAGCAATCCTGGGAATCAGAAAAAATGGTCAGGGAAACTTAAGAAATATAACTCAGATCATGGACCAATCTGGGAATTTTATTGACCGAAGAAGAAAGTAGTGAGTCTCTTTATGTTGTCTTGCATTCAAACAGCTAGTGTATCCACTAGGTGACTGGTTTTCAGTAAGGAAATATCATGAAATAAATATCATGAAATTTAACATTTTGTTTTCATGAAATGCTGGGACCTCTTACAGGCAGGTCAAGTTTTTAGTACCATTTTTCTATTTTTTTTTTAAACTCAGTACAATAGATGAATAATTCATTCAATTATTAATTTTAAATTGAATCATCTGATGTATGTTCATATTGTCAACCAATCTTCATTAGTCCAAACTAAATTCATACGACTTATCTAAAATGAATAGCTTTAAGATTTTACAAATACACATTCCTTGAAAGGGTAAAAAATAAATACAACTTTGCTAATGATATGTAAATTGTGCTTTGTGTGTGAATGACTGAAAGTTCTTGTACTACTTTTGTCTGGTATTTTACAAATGTATGTTGGGTTTTAAACAATTATTTTACATCATTTGCACCTAGATGGTTAATATTTGGGGGAGTTCTTATGATGTTTTCAGGGTGCTTTTATGCTTTTATATTGTCTCGCATACTTTGGGAGGCCCTTCAATCAAAGTAGGATATAATTTATGTCAATAAGGAGTACAGTGTGAAATAGTATTTTGGTTGAAAATGTACAATGTAAAGGAGATATTTATGAAATCAAGTCACAAATAATGTTGATATGTAACTACATGCATTGCCATGGCAACCTAGTTTTTAGGTAATCTTGTAATGCCATGGTAAGATTTGTGACATGTGTTTTGACTTGATGATCAGGGTGTTGCCTGGCCAATTTTAAGGAGGGGGGGGGGGGTTGTTCAGGGGCAGATCCAGGGGGCCCGGGCCCCTACCCCATATGGAAACGTTGTATCATCCGCTCAATCTGACTTGCGTGCATAGAACCATGAAAAAGTGAAGTTTTCTAAAAATGTGCGTTTCTTTCCAGCATTGGGGCGCCCGGAAGTCACTCGGGTAACATTTCATAAAGTATAATATAAAAAGACCATATGCAAATTTTCTGTACTTTTGTCGGAAAAACATATTTATCCAGCGCAATGTCGTCTCTTTTTTGCGTTGGAGAAGAGCAAATAGCGAGTTTCAATCACACTTTGGCTGCTCTCGCAAGCTCTCACTCGTTTCACTGTAGTCAAGCGACTTTGGGGCAAGCGGTTAATGAAAATACTAATCGTTAGCTTTCTTCTGGTATTAAACTTTTTTTGATTGATTGTATAATTTTGTTGGAATAAAGGAAACAAAAAGGCTTGACCGATAACTTATCAGCGTCTGAATTGACCTTTGACCTTGAATTCCCTGATGCAAGCGCACTAATGACGTCATCTTCGCTAAATCGGTGTCTTTTATCGTAAAATGCTACACTTTCACAATGTTTTTACATCTTTTTTAATTATTAGTAAGATATAACATATTTTGTCTGATATCACTGACGTTTTGGGTTTTATTCAATGAGTAATTTTAAAATAATTAAGAGCCATTTTACTGTTTTAATTTACTGGATCGTACCATTAAAGTTGCAGGGTAGAAAGATGCATTTTCCAACCGCGCCAAATTTAATTTACGTTCCGACATTCCGTTAAATGGTTTCGTGTTGTTAAGAATCCACTGCTTTCTGCTCCACCAAACGTCCACATGCGGAGTCGTTTATCAACTAAATTATTCAAATTTATGGATGCTTCCTTCCCAGGTGTTTGTGTTGTTGAAGCATTTCATTCACCCGCTATCATTCCTTGTACTCCAATTGCCAGAACGCAAACTACATTTTGATTTTATAGTTTCATCGGAGTCGTTTATCAACGTTATTCAAATTTATGAATGCTTCCTCCCCAGGTGTTTGTGGTGTTTATGCATTTCATTCACCTGTTATTATTCTTTGTACTTCAATTGTTCGAATACAAAATGCATTTTGGTTTTATAGTTTCATGCAATAAGTAAGTCAATAAAAGAGTATGTTCTGCACAATAAAAACAATGTGTGTCCCTATTGTACAATGTAATGTGTCCCCTTTATTTTGTAATAGTTAATTTACCGATTCACAAAATGGAACTACCTGCCCGATGAAGCCAGTGGCCCGTGACCCCTGAGCACTCAACAACAAAAAGTGCTCATTACAACCCCCCCCCCCCTCCCCCGCTTATCCGCCCCTGGATTCGTTAGACCGTACTTGATTATTATCCAAAAAGTTCGCTGAAAATTAACGTCAAGCAAAAATAATAGGGTCTATGAAATTTGCCGCACGTCTGGTCTCCCTGCAAAAGAAATGTCAACACATAACACCCATCCTCAAAGATTGACATTGGCAGCCGGTTACATTGCGTTTTCAGTTTAAAATTATTTTGCTAACATTCAAATCGCTCCATGGTCTGTCTCCTGAATATCTCTCTGAATTTGTATATGTTCCACCAATTTCCTTGCGTTCTGCATCACAAAACCTCCTCGTAGCTATAGATAGGCAGAACAAAGGCATGTGCAGGGGCGTCGCTAGAAGGGGATGTGGGGGTGCGACCCCCCCCCCCCCCCCACCTATCAGGATATTGTCAGGAAAAATGAGAAAAGGGGGAGGGAAAAAGAGATTGAAAGAAAATGAAAAGAACAAAGGAAAGGAAAGAGAAGAGAAGAAGAAGGAAAAAGAGAAAAGGAGAGGAAAAAAGGAAAAGAAGAGAAAGGACAAAAGGACTGAAGAAGAATAAAATGAAACAAAAGAAACGGAGGGATGAAAGAGGGGAGAGAGAGAGTGGGGGTAAGAGCATGAGAGAGGAAGGGTGTAAGTAAAAGAGAGGGAATGGGGGTTGTTGGGTGGAGTCATCTCGTCGAGGAAGCAAAAAAGATACGCATAGATATGTTGCTGTGTCGGGTCAGCTGTGTCGGTATTCTTGCTCGATCCTTGTGTACTATGTTAATGAACTTGTTGAGATGTAATGTTGGCTTGCCGGCGAAGCGTGACTTTTTATCAGCTGTGACGACTCCGAGCTAGACTTCAACTTACTATAGTGCATGGGCGTAAATCTGCAATTGATACCAGTTCAGGGGGATGATCTATTCATTCATCCCCCCGAACAATAGGTATTACGTAAGGATTGACGCCCATGCTATAGTGTATAATAATTTTATTTTCTTGAAGTTTCACCAGCAATCATTAAAAATCACTGTCAATTGTCATTGTCAACCTTGCTATAATATCAACAACAACAAAAAAGAAATCGCAGCAGTGAGCTTCGAACCCGGGACGTCGGTGTTCAAGCGCAGCACTCTTGCCGATCACGCCACACCAAATAGTTGCGGCGTTTGAAACCATATTATTTATATCGATACGATGCTGACTAGTCCTGACGAAATTAACCATAATATTGCATGCGCAGGTATAGATAGTTCTTAGGAAAAGTAGCCACAGCCCTCTGGCCCCGGATTTACAGGGCTAAATTGGTAGACATTGGCATTAATGTATTTGTCGGTAATTGGTGGCTAATTTCGTTAGCCATCGGTGGCCTCTACACCCCTCCCCCCCCCCCCCGCCACTGAAAAAGGTCTAGCGACGCCCCTGGATAGGGCTGTCGCTCATATTGCACCATTTTAATGGAATTCTCTCCCTAACTCCCTACGTTGTATATCCAATACTGAAACATTCATTTCTGTAAACTCAAAACTCATCTTTTCAAATTATGCCCATAACGGTACTAAAAGAAAAATAATGTTGTAATTTTTCTCTTTCTAAGAACTTCATTGTTTTATGTTCTGTTTACTCATCTTCATTTTATGATCTTGTTATATTGTATATATGTATATATATTGCAAGCGCAATGAAATGTCAACAGACATGAAATGTGCTATAAAAGAACAAAGTATTATTATTATTATTATAATATTCGATTTTAAGAGAATTCGATATATCTTTGAAACTTGGGCTAATGTGAGGGCTATTTGAAAGAATGGTCAACATTTATCATTAACTTCTATTATAGCTACATGCAGGCGCGTACGCAGGATTTTTTCAAGGGGGGGGTTTTAACATTTTTAAATCGGGCCGAAAATTTCGCATCGACTCAGCCAGCCGCCGAATAAGCGGGGGGGGGGGAGGAGGGGGAGTAAGGTCACCTTTTTTAGGTCAGCCATGGGAATATTTTTTTTTTTTTTTTTTATTATTAAAAAAAAAAAAAAAACCAAAGGGGGGGGGGGGTTCGGTTTTTTTAAGGAGGGTTTATACACATACAAATACCAAGGGGGGGATAACCCCCCAAACAACCCCCCCCCCCCCCCCCCTGCGTACGCGCCTGGCTACATGTATGCAGAAGCCACCGACAGGACATACTTTTTTCAGAAACATTATTCAAACGGTAGCCTTTGTGGAACTCACTTATTGTTTGTTTTCCATTACGATCTGCAAATCTCACACCATTCTAAGCAAACAAATACGAATTCGGTGTATATATTTGTACATTTAGTGTATTTAGATGTATTTGCCAGCAATGGTAACTGCACACTCGCGTTGAAGAAGTAACCATGAACTTGTTTTGGTTGAGCTGTAGTAGCCTGTGGTACGTCAACCGGGGCGTATAGTTTCGGGGATCTGCTCATTTGAGAAACTTCCGAGGTTATGTCAACATATATAATGGTCCTTCCACACATATCTCTGCCCTGGGAAAAATAAAATGGAAATCACACAGATTATATCAATATCTGAATCAACACATAGATATAGATTATTTTCACATAGTTATACAGTCAGTGCAAAGTCAGCTTGAGCGCCTGTACCGACACAATGCCCTCCACTCCCGGCCCCCTCCCCCCCCCCCCCCCCCCACACTCCGTGAACGGAGGGATACCATGCGTGTTCCTAAACTCTCCGGCTCGAATCAAAAGAAAAAGGTCTACCCGTATTGACTTTGCACACCGGACTTTTGCTAAAAAGGGGGGGGGGGGTCGCTGGGAACACGCATATGCGTACCCTAGATAACAGTCACTGAGTGGGGGGGGGGGGGGGGAGGGCGAGCCTCCACTACTCCCTCGCAACACCCAACACTGGTTCGCAAAAATGCCAGTGCCGACTCCGTTATGTTTGCTGTGGCCGTACCAATTTTGTCATCGCAAACTTTTGTGAGAGCGCAGCGAGCGAGCTCTATAGGGGAAATTGATGAAAAAGCGGGGGCTCTAAATCGCCTTGAATCAGAGGGGCTTGTTATGGAGAAAGGCAAAATCGGCACTTGTTAAAAGGGTAAAGGACAGTTATTAGAAGAAATAAAACGTGCTCGTGGCAAAGTAAAAAGGGCAATTATTAGAGGTAAAAATGGCACTTTTTGCATCTGAAAAGGGACACTTAACAGAAATGAAAAAGGGCACGTGTAAGAATGGAAACGGGGAATCTGTTGAAGTATTAGCTAAGGGCACCTATCAGATTTTAATAAGGGCATTAATCAGAATTTAAATGTATAGACAAGTTTTGGAAACACCCCCCTCTCAAAAAAAGAAATGGAAGCTCTTATTAAACCAATCATGTAAAAGAATGTGTTTTGACTATTAAATACGTGATGATACAAATTTTGCTGGATGCACTTCAACATTGAATATTTGGGCATATATTTCTCTTTTTTGCGAATTGAGGTTGAATTATTACCATCTTAACCTATGAAGGCAATATTTAAACATTATTGAATTGATATTTTGCACCCAGAATTCTTGAACCGCAATTTTACCATTACCGGTCTTTACCTTTAAGGGGTATTTTGAAAAGGGGGAGGGGCTCATACATCATGGGCTCATATATAAAAGGAAAAAGGGCACTAATTATCCGAAGGAAATATATAACTTATTAGAAAGGGAAAGGGGCATGTGTCAAAATAAAAGAGGCACCCAGAAAATCATGTCATCTCAGCAACATTTGAAAATCACTAGTATCGAATTGAAAATAAACCACGCTTGAATTTTAGTTGGAGTTCAACTTCACTCTTAGGCGATTCCCCCCCCCCCCCCCCCCCACCTCCCCCCTCTCGGATTTCTTCTTGGGATGATGCAGATATAATTATGTAGGTGCAATTAAGCACATACATTATGGCTTGCCTAAAGGCGGTGCTCCCGGAGGGGGGGGGGGGCACGATGCCCCTTCTTTTTCAAGTACTCAAAAAGTGTCCCCTTTTACATAAGAAAAAAAATCTTCTTTTAATATAGGTTAAACCCTCTTGCTCTAAAAGGATTGCCGCTATTCATTTCTGATAAGTGCCTCTTTTATTTTGACACGTAGTACGTGCCCCCACTTCCTGCGAATCCTGCGACGAGTTCCCCTTTTCCTTTGCAATAATTAAGTGTCCATTTTCCATTAACATAAGTGCCCATTTCCATCTTTAGTAAGTGCCCCTTTTCAGATACGAGAAGTCCTTTTGATAAGTGCCCCGGCCCTTCACCTCGATCTGGTATTACCCCTATTCAAATCTAGGAGATGCCCATTCTACTTTGACAAAGCCCTTTTGTTTTTAAATCTTATGCTCAGCTTGACCGAAAGTTTCCCCCTATTTTAAGACACCTCTCTAAATCTATGAATTACAGCAGACCCTCTTAATTTTCTTACACCCCCCCCCCCCCCCCCCCCCCCCTCACTGAAGTCATAGCTAGACCTCTCTACGTACGTAACCGGATCGTGAGCTGTCTAAAAAGTAACAACCAGCCAACATAATACTTACGTACTTCAGGTTTCCCATGGTTAGTCTCATCAAGTAAAAAGTGGTTTGATGGTAAGCTGATTGATGCTCAATATTTTGTAGTGTTATTTTCTTCAGTCTTCAATGTTTCCGTGTGAAAACTGGAGATATCGAAACATCGTTTATTAATAGTGTGGTCCCATATACTGAACTTTGTGTAGTGTCTGAGCGGGGCCGGAGGCGTATTTTTTATTTACACGGCAGCGAGGGGAATTTCTCGATTAATCCCAATAATAATAAATAATAAACAATATTTATAAGGCGCTTAGAGTCTAATACTGGTGTCTCTAAGCGCACCATATTCTGACTTTAATAACAATTAGGTCTATTTACCAAAACTTATAATAAACACACAACTTATACATCTGTTCTTTATTCAATAAATCATGCAAACCAATGAAACCGCTCGCGTAGAGTCTAGACTGGACCGAATCGGAGTACGACTCCGAGTACCTATCAGTGCAGTGCAGTGTATTATAAAGGGAATTGTACTTAATATGTAGATCTAGAGAAGTGTAGTGACTTGAACTTTAAGGTCACAACTGTTTATCAACATTGTAAATAGTCAGCATTTTAAACATTCCTTTTGTTAGTACTTTCCGTTCAGCCAGCTTCAATAACAATAACAATTTACAGCTGCACATTCTACACTTTACTTTTACTTTACTTTAATAGACCCTATGTTAAATACGATGTTGTAGGTCTAAGCCTGTTCATCGATCCAGGATTCTTCCAGGGAACTGCGATTTGTGGAGGAGGTTGTGTAAAACATGAAACAACAGACAACACCTAGACCGGCTCATACAGAAGGCTTGTGTTCTTTGACCAGTGACTATCCAGTCTATTCTTGAATGAGTTGACTGACCCAGCTGCCACAACATTTTCTGGGAGACTGTTCCACAGCTCCACGACTCTATTGCTAAAAAAGTATTTTCTGATATCTAGTCTTGAATGTTTCTTTTCTAGTTTTCTAGAGTGACCTCGAGTTCTATCTTCTGTACTCAACTTAAAGGGAATCTCTTGCACATTGTACAAGCCATTCAAGTACTTGTACACATTGATCATGTCCCCCCCTTCTACGCCTGTGAACAAGAGTTGGTAATTGGAGTTTGGTCAAGCGCTCCTGGTAAGATAAATTTTTAAGGCCAGGAATAATCTTTGTTGCACGTCTTTGTATGCTTTCCAACATCCTCTGTTCTCCTAGTCTGAACGGGGACCATGCGGCCTGTCCGTATTCTAATATGGGCCTAACGAGGCCTTTAAACAAAAACGGCATAGTGTCAGTATTGAGATACATAAATGTCCTACGGATAACTCCAAGTACTCGATTTGCTTTGAGAACTGTTTGGGAGACGTGATCTTTAAATGATAGTTGTGAATCTACAAGGACACCTAGGTCCTTTTCTACTTTGTTAACAGATAGTGTTACAGAGTCTGTCCCCTTTTTCATACGATAGCCTGTAGAGGCATCTGCTGGTAACTTCCCAAGCCTTAAAACAGTACACTTATCAGGATGAAAGCGAAGCTGCCATTTCTCAGCCCATTCTTCCATCCGTGACAGATCCTCTTGAAGCTGCTTTCTTAAATTTGCAGTATCAGCACGGACATACAACTTTGTATCATCTGCAAACATTGAAATATTTGAGTTCACAACTTTTGGAAGGTCATTGACAAATAGCAAAAATAAACACGGACCCAACACACTGCCCTGTGACACTCCACTCAGTACTTTGCCCCACTTAGACTGCTTGCCTCTGACCACTACTCTTTGCTGCCGTCCACTCTTGTATAACGTTATCGCGATCGCGGTACCCCTCACGACTCGCACAACATGGGACGGTGGGAGACTACTAGCGATTTTGGTACAATTACAAATGTGCCATTATGTGGTACAACTACTTTCTCCCCTATTTAGATCTAATAAGGTTAACAGCCGTTTTTCTATATTTAGATCTAATTTTCTGATTCATGAATCAGACATAAGAAATTATATAGATCTAGCCTAGACTGTCTACATTTCTTTCTTAATCTTATACAATTCATAAAATTGTCATTCTTAATTCCAATGGCAAAATTTACGGGCTTACTTTACAGTTACACAAATCTATCCAATTTCATTTCTGAACCAGTGAGCTGTACCATTCAATGTATTTGAACTGTAATCTATGACATGACCCAGCCAATATCAGAGACCCTTTAAATGCGTGACGTCAAGCCTAATGCGTGACACTTGGTAGCTCTGAATATTTCCGGTTCAACGTACCAGAAGGCCAAACGATCATTCGTTTGATATTGGGTTTATGAACATTAAAATATCAATGGTTCAGCTGGGCTGGACTCTAACATATCTATTGGACGCTCAAAAAAAAATTAATTAATATTCATTACCGGTATACTCAAATCAAGATAGCTGACAACGAATCATGTTAACTACAAATCTTTCTTGAAAATAACATTGTGTTTAGGAGCTAAATAGTAAATGAGCAAGCTATCGTAAGTCAAAGTACATATTGCAGCTTTTGCTATTTTTTACATTAAAATTGAGTGTAATATCTAGTGATATTGCAGCCAAAGTGGATATATTAAGACGTAAGGAGTGAAAACACTTGTAGCAGCACATTCATCTCGGTCCAGCCAAATCGACCCATTCCTTTCACTCACTACCCCATACGATGTTAGTGGAGCCAGATATAGTCTCATCAGAACAAGTTCTGTCAATATCAGAGACTGAAGCTTTCGGTCTATATGTTTAAGAGTACTTTTGAGAATCAATGGAAGGTGTCTTCAATTGTTGTATTCCACACAATGCTGCCTGCTTTGAGTGATGATTGAACATGTTGAAGTTGCTGTGGATTAGTTAACATTCTCTTTCTGTCTCTAGATCTTCTTTGAGGCTTGGTATCCTGCCAAGAGTTCTGTTAATGCATCACCGTCCATCAAAGTGGAATGGCTTCAATATGGAGAGCATATCTAGGACTGCTTCATCAGTATCCCTTTCGTACACAAGCAGTAACATCAGGTAAATCAGCTGGTCATTGTGGTTAGATTTAAATTTTTGTTTAAATTGTCTCTCTGGCGAGGTGAAGCAATGCTCAGTTACATGTATAACTGTTGTGCTACTTTTATGGGGGGGGGGGGGGGGAGGGTGTATCATAAATCCACTACAGTGGTCAATGACCATAGCATTACACTTGAACTTAAATGTAAAGACCAGTATTGGAAATGCCCCCAATTTAAAAAAATGAAATGGAAGCTCTTAAAACCAATACATGATGATAAAAATTTTGCCGGGAAACCGCCTACTAATTGATATATGTGGTAAACTAGTTTATCTATTGGTGTGTGAGAGATAAACGCATGTGTCAAGCACGTGTGCGTATAGTCCCATATACATCTTTCTGTGTACAGTGCTTGTAACTTTACGAAGACTGGGCCAAATTTCTTATAATTTTGATGATTACAGAACATTGCAGTACACACCAATACTTTTATGCTAGATGATCAACTTTTTCTGATCGATTCCATAATGTTTCTTTCACAATACAATCGCATGACTATACCTGGTCTTTATCTTTAAAGAGCAGTCTTATTTACTTTTATGCATGAATAAATGTGGCCCATCTAGGGATGGTGGAGCATTTCAAAAATACCACTTCCCTCATATTCCATGCATTGTCTTGAATAATTTTAATATTTTTCTGTTGCTCATATTTTGTTGTCATAGCTAATATAATTATTTACGTTTTAATACACTTGATATACAGGTGTGCTATTCTTCGCTTCAGACTGCATCTCTCAGCAAGCGGTAGAGAGGAAAGGATGGAAGAATCATGATAAATTAAGGACTCTCAGACAAAGTGCATTTGGGTTTTGCTTTGCTGTAAGTAATACTGGGCGATATCTTGTAAATGTCGTTCATTGCTTTTTTTTCTCCTGGATAACACTTTGAAATATCTTTGTAACATTTAAGATGCTGCTTATAAGTATCGGCTTGCATGGTGATGTAGATATACTAAGGCTTACGGTTGACCATGTGAGAGAGGGGATGATCGGGGAGTCCTGAAAAGGACTGTCAGTAATCTTTCTTTCTTGAGTGTGTGTGTAGTCCTGAAAAGGAATGTTGGTAATCTTTCTTGAGCTTATAGTTCTAAAGAGATCTATAGCGCCGGTTGGAGAGGATGGGTAGTAGGAGGGGCTCAACTTTTCAAACAGTTAATATGACTATCCATCGTCAGGATTCGCACACTCAAGAAATAAAGATTACCGACAGTCCTTTTCAGAAATCCCCAATCCTCTCCCTCTCTCACATGGTGCAACCATACGCCTACTGTATGTAAGAGAGACACGTTATAGATTTTGCTAGATTTGTGACCATTTAAAATCCATGTACCGTCACCTTTCTTTTTATCGTTATCAGGGTCCATCTTTATTTGCATGGTACAAGCTCCTCAATAGAATCTACCCTGGCTCTGGTAAGCTGACCCCTCTATGGAAGATGCTTACAGATCAAGTAAGTTGATCACATACCTATTTTTTTGTTATTTTCCACTCAATCAAAACTTTTCAACATTTTGGTTGTTTCTGGGATGTGATGGAGATATATTTCGAGTAATTTATTGAAAGTTAAAGTTAAAAAGGAATGTCAGTATCCATCTTCCTTATTGTTCGCATATATTACTATGCAGTATACTTTTCTCTGTCTTTAGTTTCATATTAGCTACATGGTTATCAACATACATTTTGTTTTATTTTTTACGCATGAAGAATGTAGATGATGTATGTTGCTTGGAAATCACGGATGCATTGTTAATAAAACATAACTTTTCAGTGATTCAACCTTTTAAAAAGGCTACTATCTATCCTTATAGCAGCTTGCATCTGTATCTGTATCTGTATTAATGTGTGGAAAACTTAGACCTTGTAGAGATCGAGCCCTAAGGGCATGAGTTTCATTTTAGACAGAGTTACATCCTTTGGGTTATCAGCAGAATTTTTTTTACACAATTCTGTCAATACATTGCCTTGATGATATTTTTGGTTCTTTTAAAGTGTCTTGATATAAAACAGTCTAATGTTTATATAAGAACAGGCATTTCAGATATACTTTATTTTATCTATTTTGTTCATGAACTATCTTGATTGTTTTTTGTACAGACTGTGTTTCCGCCTGTCTTTCTCACTGTGTATTTCTCAACTGTTGCCTTGACAACAGGGAAGAAAGTGGATGAGGTCCCAGCCATTTTGATAAGGGTGAGTATTTCTTCTTAGATAGTTTTGATTTAATCAGTACTCTCATGATAAGTATCATCATCATCAGGATGTTTAAAATGCATCGGTGTCATTGATATTATCTAATATATTATATTTGTCTATACAGAAGCATGAATCATAATATTTATGTTAATTGATATGTGGGATAGAATATGATACGCAGTTAATCAAATAGCATTTTACCTTTTTGTACAGTTGTCTTAATTTTGTTTAAACTGGTCTTCCTTTGAGCCTCTCCATTGTGGCAGCATTTTTACTAAAATTGTATATTACTGCCAATGCTACTAGTATATCAATATATAAATGAATACAAATAACATTTTATTGTAATAATAATAATAATAATAACAACATTTATCATGTGCACATATCCACCCCAAGAGATGCTCAACAATAAACAGTAGAAAATCATGAAGATTTACATTTTGTTTAAAAGACATTTCATGAGTTCCATAACAATTTATTTGAATATGTGAAGAGAGTTCTATGAGTTTTTCCAATTCATAACGTTTCTTTCTTCCAGGATATACCTAGTACCTATGCCAGAGGGCTAATGGTAAGTATCAATCAAATTCAGTTCTATTTGATTTATTTAAGAACAGCTACAAAACTGTAGAATGGTGTCAAAAGCATACAACAGTGACTAGGCCTACTCAATGCCACATTTATCAACAAATTGATCAAAACATTGGCTCATAGTAATAGTAATAGTGATCTATTGTATGATGAAATCATGAGGATTGTTTATCTGCTTGTCTCAAAATATTAACTTTCTTGTTTGAAAATTTTGATTGAATGTGTCTTCCAATGAAAGACATAACAAGCCTAGATGAAAAGTGAATTTGGAGATCAGCAGAAATAAATGATGTTTCAAGTTTTTAAACACATATGTAAAAAAGAGTTGTCACATGTTACATTACAGTCACGTGAGACTTGGACAAATGAACTTGCATTTGCAAACATTCATTTTCTTTTATTATTTGTACTTTTTCAGAAACCATGCTATAAAGTTTTTCTTGTCTAATTTTCATGTTTTAACTAAAATCAATTTGCTATGAAGGTTACATAGCCATTTGCTTTACATACCGGTAATGACTTATCAATGTCTCTCTTTTCTCCTTTACAGATCTGGCCGGCTGTACAACTCGTCAATTTCTACTATGTGCCTCTTTTACACAGGTATTTAAAGGCATCGTTTAAAAATGTTAAATCTGAGATGCATGGGCCTATGTGTTATCAATGTCTGTGATACATGTATGGTGTAATATTGAAGCCTAAATAAATTGCGCTTCAAAATGATCAAAAAGTGCCTCAAAAAAGTAAATATCTTTGAGTGACTGGTTCTACCATACCGGTACTCATTTTCCCCAATAGACTGTAGTGTTATCAAAACCGTTAGGAAAACGAAAAAGGAAATTTAGACTTCCAATCATAAATATCTTGATAATCAGATAGGCGATCGACTTATAAAAGTCATGGGGTTCCTGACTGACCTAAAGGTTTATAATTATCATCCAGGATTTTGTTTCAGAACCTGAGATAGGATCATAGTATTATGACTTTCTGAATCTCTTGTGTAAACAAAAAATTAAACATGACATTTAGCCTCAGTCTTGCACCCAAACAATGTGTATGAAATTATTAGCTTCATAATTGTATTAATGAAAGAAAAAATAAATGTACCGTGTGTTCTACAATCTTGAAGCATTGCACAATTGCCAACCATGGACACATTATTGCAAAGAAAATACTAGATATATGCTTTGGCAAAGACAGGTGATTTTTGTTGGTCAAAGACATACATGTATTCTATTAGGGCTTGGGTCTGGGATAGGAAATGTGTTGGTTTAGGATTACAGTCTAGAAATTTGAGAAGTGGTTGCTGTGGTATATGACATACAGTCCTCTGAGTGAATTTTGCATGAACTGCGTAATATTGGACAAATATCGTCATTTTTCTCTCACAAACCCTCTTTCTTTGCTTTATCGTTCTCTTTTTCTCTGCCTCTCTCATTCTCTCTCTTCTCCTTCACAGAGTACTGGTTGTCAATATAGTTTCTATGATGTGGAACACCTATTTAAGCTGGAAAGCAAACGCTGCACCGAGTAGTATAATGACATCCACCTCCAACTAGATAGACCTATGTACCTGCACAAATTTCACTTATATTCAAATGAACAGATGTACTACCAGTATGTGCCCATGTGATTCCAATATTTATTGAGGTAGTTTTTTGGATGGCCATAGCTCAAAGGAAAACTCCACCTTGATCATGATCCAACATGTTATTCACAAGCCCAAATTGCCAGTTGGTCTATTGTTTTTATGCCTCCGTTACGAAGTAGCCGGAGGCATTATGTTTTCGGGTTGTCCGTCCGTCCGTACGTACGTCTGTACGTACGTACGTCCCGTTCTTGTGATCGCGTTATCTGAAGAACCGATCGATGGATTCCTGCCAAACTTTGGTCATGTATGTATCTTGCAGAGCCGATGAACTGATTAGATTTTGGGGTCACGAGGTCAAAGGTCAAAGGTCACAGGGCTCATTAGGTATGCAAAAACAGCTCGTGATCGTGTTATCTGAAGAACCGATTGATGGATTCCTGCCAAACTTTGGTCATGTATGTATCTTGCAGAGCCAATGAACTGATTAGATTTTGGGGTCATGAGGTTAAGGGTCAAAGGTCTTCCTTAAATCTTAACAATAGCTCATAATTTCATCACATTTGTTTCATTTTTTAACATTTTTATTTTTAAAAATCCATTTAACAAGGTGAGATTTTCCTTTATGTTTTGCAAGCCATCTGTACTCTCAAATTATATGAATGATTAAGAATACAGTATTGTATTTACACCCTGTTTTACACCCTGTTTTACACCCTGTTTTAGTTCTTGGCTTGAGTAGAAAGTATTTAGTCCCTTTTATGTTGTCTTGCATTCAAACAGTGTATCCACTAGGTGACTTGTTTTCAATATGGAAATATGTTGAAATAATTACTGGTATCCTAAAATTCAGAAATTCCATCAGGGAAGTTTCAATTTTTTTTTCATGAAAAGCTGGGAACTCTTACAGGGAGGTGTTGAACTCAGTACAATAAATGAATGATTATTCGTCAATTGTGTTTTTTGTATTGATTCATCTGATGTATGTTCATATTGTCAACCAATCTTCATTGGTATTGTCTTCATCAGACCAAACTAAATTCATAAGACTAATCTAAAATGAACAGCTTTAAGATTTTACAATTACACATTCCTTGAAAAAGGATAAGATTTAAATACGGTACAGATTTGCAAATGTTATACCTACTTTTCTATGTAAACTGTGCTTTGTGTGTGAAAGACTGAAAGTTCTTGTACTACTTTTGCCTGGTATTTTACACATGTATTTTGAGTTTGAGTTTTAAACAATTATTTTACATCATTTGCACATAGATGGTTTATACATGTAGCTGATAGAGTTCTTATGCTGTTGTTATCATGCTTTTATGTCTTTATATTGTTTCACATACTTTGGGAGGTCCTTTAATAAAAGTAGAATATAATTGATGTCAATAAGGAGTACAGTGTGAAATTATGTTTTATTTGAAAATGTGCAATGTAATTGAGATGTTTATGAAATGAAGACACAATTCATGTTGAGAATGTAACTACAGTGTTGTAAATGACTTGCCAAGGCAACCTTGTTTTTACTTGATGCTCAGGGGTGTTGCCTGACCAATTTTAAGGAGGGGGGGGGGGTCACAACTACCCTGCTATGAATGCCCTTGTTTATAACATTTAATTTTAAGAGAATTCAATATATATTAGACGTAATAGTGAGGGCTGTTTGAAAGAATGGTCAAAATATATCAGTAATTCTATTGTAGCTGTGTAAAAGCCATAGACAGTACAATCATATTGGGTTTTTTTCTCCAACTGAGGATGCAAATGTGGATTGGAATCATAGCTTTTAGAGTTTCGTTTATGTCTCTTTCTTCTTTTTTTAATTTCTGAATGAAAGGACAATTTCTTCATTGATTGACAGTAATTTTTTTAACAGAAAGGCCTTGTGAATTGGCTTTGTTTGGGGTTTTGTAACTTCATTGAATATATCTTGTGGTTGTTGAAAAAAAATCTATAGATGTATTTGAAAGTTGTTAAAAATATATATAGATATTAGGTATTTTGTATAGATGCTCTAAGAAGTATACATGTATAATCAAATGATATGTTGAGACACTTTCAAACATTATAGTACTTCTGCCCGATGCAGAGCTAGTAAAGTATTTATTACCCATATAGGAAAATGAATAATTTATTATTTTATGAACTGCCAGAATTGCAAGCTAGAGAAATGTAGGCAAATATATTAAGGTTGGTTTGCGTGTCAGGTTTATCAAAATGTAACAAGAATTAAAAAATCTGATGTGGGGTTTTCTGTAATTGCAAGATCAATGCAAATTGTTTGATAAAAAAGTGGGGAAAAAATAGATCAGTTGCACAGGCATGTAAACCAGTGTGTTGAACTTGTGTCTCTTAAGTATAGATATCACTCAAGGTGCTAGCAATCCTGTTTTATGAAACTTTGTTCCATGAAGCTAGTAGTAAAACAATGAAATACATTGTACTTTTTTTTTCACAATCTGCTTACCACAATTACCTTGTCCATGTATATTGTGTGCTGTAGTACAACATACTTGCCAACCCTTTCAAATAATCAGGAATATTCTGGATTTTTAGGACCTGAAAATTCAGAATATTCTGATTTTTCAAAGTTTCTTTTTTGTTCTTTTGGTGTGCTTTAGCCAAATTACGCTTGTTTTTTTCATGTGCTGCGATTTGAGAGTTCATGTATTGTGTGCATTGAATGGCTGCATAATCAAGCAGCGAATTTGTATTCGCTTATGGTACAGATTTACCACGTATTTCTAATTCTTATTTTCAAATGTTGGCAGGTATGGACTACAGTGGAATCTAGTGGTATCTTATTATCTCAGGGCTCTGTGTGACTAGCAGAATTAACTTGTTATATTTAAGAGTTTGTTTAATATTACACTAGTCTTTATAACAAAGTTTAACTGTACAAAGTTACTTTTATGTGAAGAACCAATCATTTAGAATGCCATTTACTGCACTATGTATGAAGTATATGGAAGTACATGTATGTTAAAGGTAATACAAAGTTTTGGGAAATTTTGAAAATTGGGTGGATAGTGATTCTTTACAATGTTGATATATTTGGATGCCCCTGTGGATGTATTGTAAGCGCTAGAAAATTTAGCCCCTAAAACACTTCCGCTTTCGAGAAAAATTGAATATACAAATTTAACGGTGCTCCCGGTAAATTATGATAAATTTCAAATAGTGCCTACGGCGTACAATGGTAGCTGCGACCATGAAAATCTCAGTATATGTAGTTGTGACATATAATTTCCAAACAAGAATGTTTAGACTCGATTTTAACCACCAATATTGAATATTGTAGGATCGCATATGCTTCCAATATGTTCATTTGAACCAAATTCATGACCCCATACCAAAACTTTGCATTACCTTTAAAGATACTATGTCCCTTTTGCAGCCAACATCAAATTCTGTAGAACTTTGGCAAGAATTACGAATGTCTTGTATGTCCTATCTGTAAACATTTAAACATTAGCAGTGTCCAAGTATTCAAATTATGCAAGGAAACCTGTTTACCTTCACTGTCAGACACTATTGAGTGAGTGACCGACATCTTTTTTTCTTTGGTAATAACATACATAAAATGTGCTGGAACAGGTACATGAGCATTTTCCTACATCAATAACCCACTACTTGTAATGCCCAAAATTAAACTGATAGAATCATTGTGCAGCATAAAACGTACAACCATTTGGTAAAAGGGTGTGAAAATCAGACTTTTACTTAGGTGATTGCAATCGCTCAAGCTGATTTGACAACTAATGTTCGTTATTTTCCCACTAAAGGCCATTTTCAAGCCTTTTGTTTTGAGGGAAGTTCTAAATTAGTTCTTTCAAATGCCGTTGGAATTTAACCTTTTCATTTTTTGCAATGGGACATAGTACCTTTAAGTCTATGTAGAATCAGCTTGAGCTAGGAATGATCCTGTGTCTTTGTATAGGACCATATAGGTTTCAAGAAAGGTATGAATGTATGCATATTTTTACACTATATATTTATATTGTGAATGTTTTCAATCATAACAAAATAAATGTACAATGTATTTTCATAACATCAAAATACAATGTTTTAAGATTGTAATTTTTTCAACAAAATTGGGCATTTGGGAGAATAAACAAAAACAAAGTCTACGTAGAATCAGCTTGAGCTAGGAATGATCCTGTGTCTTTGTATAGGACCATATAGGTTTCAAGAAAGGTATGAATGTATGCATATTTTTACACTATATATTTATATTGTGAATGTTTTCAATCATAACAAAATAAATGTACAATGTATTTTCATAACATCAAAATACAATGTTTTAAGATTGTAATTTTTTTCAACAAAATTGGGCATTTGGGAGAATAAACAAAATCTTGATAATTTACAAGTTTGATAAATTTTCCAATATTTTATCCATTTTGGTAACTCACATTTCCTAGAAAGGTAATTGATTCACCCCCCCCCCCCCCACGCCCACTCTACTTATTGATAAGAGCCCATTAACACACGAGGCAGTATACCGTTCAACAAAATGAAAAGCTGTGGGGAAATGAGCAGAGATGAGCACAAGTGTCAGCTTTCAGTATATTACACACTATGAACCTTATGAATGAAACGTTCAATTAAGAAACATTTAAATAAGTAAACACATTATACATGTAAACTACCTGATTTGAAAGCTAATAAAATAGAAAGACGGGTGAGTAATGTGATTGGGAGTTTATGCTCTTTATTATACATTATTGTCAGTAATTGTACAAACTTATTGTACAATTCATAACTTCATGAACATATACAATGTATAACGCATGGTCTTCGATACACAAGTACAGTTTTTGTTTTGTTCAGAATTAAATAAAGTTTTCCAGTAAATTGTGGAAGAAGGGAAGAAAAGAAAAGAAAAGAAAGGGGAAATAAAGTGTCAAATGGATTATGGGGGATCAGAAACAATGAAAAGGAAAGATCTAATCATCTGTATACTAAATGATAAACATACACAACTTAATTTGACTCTATTGTTTTAAACTTTGAGAGTGTGAGGGGGTAAAATAGCTTCTTTACAAAGATCCTTCTGGCACCAAGGTAAAAATGATTTTTTTTTTTTCTTCTTCAGATTCCATGTATTAACGGAAGATGAAAAACAACTGCAATCGTATCTTATTATGTATAAGGTGAAATGAAGGTGTAAACTTTCTCTGTTTTCCTGTTATTAACCCAATAGCT